CGCTGGGGAAGAGTGTGACAGAAATGTGCAAAAAATGTTTATTTCAAGCGTAATGATTCAGGGAATGTGTGACATAATAGTTTGACTTAATTGTCAAGCCATTGTTTCAGAAAATACTTGTCTAATACATCACGCACTGTCTGTATTTTGAAATCAGCTAAAGTTTTGCAGATAATCTCTGAGCCTTATGTTTATGATTCTTCAGATCAGGAGATAAAGCAGTTGGTAGCTTTTACATCACACCTGCTGGGATGTGGGTTTGAATCTGACCCCAGTTCTCACAGTGACCCTGATCACTGAAAATCACATGAATATGTGATAATTTACGGCGCTTTTAGAAAACACTCACCCTGATCTGTTTCTGTGACAGTAGGGTGAAGTCAGGGCTGATAATTAAAAATTTCACGTCTCTCATGGAGGTGAATCTCTCCAGTCTCTCCTGATCGCATACCCAGCTATGGTTCTTCATAAGACATGGTCCTCATTTGTTTTCCCCTTTCTTTCCACTGAGCTGAAACTAAAAGTGCTGTTTTTTATGTTCCTTTTCTCTCCTCCCTTCCCAGTGTCATGTAATGCCATCTCATCTACAGCAACTCTTACCTGGTTTACTTAACAATTTAAGGTACTTAAATTGGCAAACGATTAAAACACCAAAATACAAGTGGTTATCTTTACATGCCTGTACTGTATATTTATCCTTGTCACTCTACTGGACTCTACTGGAACTGTTGCCTTGAGCTAGTTCACTGTGAATTCTCCATAGAAATATGTATAGTATATGTATCGTAAGTGATAATCTGGAACAAGATAATCTAGAATAAGATGTGCTGTGCTGAGACAAGGCTCCAGGGTGAAGGAGAAGCCGCAGATCTGCTGTGAGAACAGCACCAACAAACAGGCGGAAACACAGCAAACTGCAAACTTCTGGAGTGCTGTGAATAGGCCCCTTGCCTGCTACTTTGAATAGAATCGGCACAGTGATTCCAGTCAGCGAGGATATGACGAGTTCTGAAAGCCCGCCTCCTTCTCTAACACAAGATGAGGGGCTGTGCCTAGATATTGCTGTCCAAAAGAATCCCACAGCGTAATTAATGCTAAATAGTGAGCGTGTGAGATATTTTCTGCATGTTTTTCTCAAGTGGTTGTTGCAGTACATCATAGGGCCCATACATATACTTAAGAAAGGAAGGAAAGCATCCATAATTCATTTGCACTAATGATCTAGTCTTGATTATAATTATCCTTATTTGGAGAATGCTTTAATTTTCTACTTGAAACTATTTTGTTTTATATCAAGATATTAGCACCTCTTAATATATGAAACAGGAGTGACACATACAGTGCTATTGCTCAGGTTTCATGAGTAGCTTTCTTACAGACTTACTTAAAAATCTTGCCTATCCCCTGTTATTAGCTAGTAAGCAGGTCTTAAAATTTCATGTGAAAAGCCATCAGTAACCGTAGATCTTGCTGAGGCAGTGTCCACTTTCAGCTTCTGTCACTGGTGTGATAATGGTTTATCTTGAGCTTAGTCTTGGAGGAAGTGATTTAAACAGCAGTGGTGCACGCTTGTGTGGAGCTGTGAGACCTTGCTGTCTTGCTACTGAAGATTTCCCAGACAGCTCCCAAATGCTGTGATGTGCCTCCTGTTCTGCATATTAGTTTCATAAAATGAATGATATGCTAAGGAAGTCTGCACCACGTGGAATGGACATACACCCAAAGTAGGGCAGCCAGTGACATGTCTGTTACGGAGTGAGATGTCTGTTACGGAGTGACATGTCTGTTACGGAGTGACATGTCTGTTATGGACATGGGCGAGCAACCTAGAAAGTTATGGGTTAATCTAAAGTGGGGACTTGCTCTTATTCCTTTAATTAAGGTACTTAGCTTGAATTTTAAGTGGTTTTGGACAAAGGTGTCAGTCAAGCTGCAAATGTAAATGCAAAATTCACAACAGTTGAAAATATCTGTTTCATATTTTGGTATGCTGAAGGCATGATGAGTGTAGAACAGACACCCCCACAAATATTACCTGAAAGAAAAACCTTTTTCATGCTACAGACTGTAACAAGACTACAACTCTGGATTGTATGCAAGTGAAAAAGCAGCACAAGGCAATTAAGAAGAAACTTGCGCAATGGAAAGGCATTTTATAACAGGACATTTGTTGATGTTGGTGTTACAAATTATCTGAATCTTTGAAATTGATCTTAAACCACCCCAAATTCCTGTGACAATGGTCAGTAGGAAAACAACAAAGACTTCCTCTTGCCCAAGCCAAAGAGAATCCTCACGTGAACACTGTGTTTGGCAATGGCTTATATTAAGATCTGACAGGTGAAATTCACTGTCATAATTTGAAATGTGGTATATTCAGGTATATCTTTGATTTTCGGTGTGGCTAGATGGCTTTCTTTTCCATTCTTCACTGGGCTTAATGGAAATGGCATATGATAATATATGTGTCTTAATATTCACAGATGGCCAAGAAAGGTGTTTTCACCCAACAATTGAGACAGGGTATAATGCTGGGGAATACTCTGGCGGGATGCCAGCCTTTCACAGCGCGCAAATACACACACACACACACACACACACACACAGTCACACTCCATGGACAATTTAGAGATACTGATTTAGAGATACTGATTAGCATAACCACCACAGAACATGGGAAAGAACATGCAGACTTCATACACACACAGAACAGAAGTGGGAAACAGTTTCTGGAGGTCAGAGGCATCTGAGATATCTAATAGTTTCTGAAGCTCAACAAATAAAGCATTGCAATAACAAGGCAAAGGTCGCTGGTTAAAATCCTAGGGAGCACAAGTAAAATGTAACCCTTCCCTCTGCTGTAAGTTGCTTTGGGTAAAGGCATCAGAAAAATGTAAATCTGATGAACCATGGTGCCACCCAGGTCTGATCATTTATAACATCAATCTAGAATTATATCTAACAAATACATAAATGTAACTGTAATCACGAAAAAAAATCCTGAAATATTTGCATATATGTAATATGTTTACATGTTAAAGTTAAACAGTCGATAAAGATATAGACTTTTTACATTTGCCTCATATTTTTCGAAGCTGCCTCACTCCTATCAGCGTTTTATTTTACGAGATGTAAATATTTTAAAAGCGTCTCATGATAATATGCTGTAAACCGGTGCTGTGTTGGCTGGTTTTATAACGATTTCCCAGCATTATTTATAACAGCCTGGAGCGTTTTACAGTACCACTGGTCGGCTTTGTTTTTATTTGCATGATTTCACATCTTGGCGTACTTGATTCCGTGGATTTACTTCTGCTTCCTAATGATCCCATTGTTTAACTTAGCATCTGAGGGGGTGGCCTGCCTTGCATTCAATGCTCTGATTAAGTGAAGTCTCAATGGCACTGCGATTATATAGTACGAAGAAATTAGATCTTGTTAATCCATATCTGTATGGCCCGTGGTAAGTTGCTGTAAGTTTTCAAGTTGTTGCAACTTTTTACTTTGGATTGGTAGTGCAATTCTGAAGTAGCTGAAAGGGCTAATGTGAAAAGCGTCAAAAAATGAGAGTATTAGGGTTGAATCAAGGTACATGTATTTTTGCTTGTAATGTATTTTTGTCGGATTTATTCAGATTAAAAACAGATATGAATACTTGCCAACATCACGTTAATGAAATGCTTAAAATGAAGAATCATTTTGTAAGCTCAGTGTGCTGAGTGTGTGTTACTGCTTCTCGGTGGTGGGGAGGGGCCGGAAATACAGCTATTGGACGTGATGTCAGGTATTTTTGACTGTACGTGCTCTAGCAGGCTGGGGTCCAGGTCTTCGCTGATCTGGTCAGCATGACTGCACATGCCATCTGTGGCAGCAGTTGCCTATGAATGCGCCTTGTATAAATAAACACGAGCAGTTGAACATGCACCGATATGCATTATGGTTTTCAGGACTGTTATTTTAAGTTACATATTCGCACGTTTGCAAAGGATGGTTCAAAATGTCTTGTATTTTTTTCCTTTTTAAAATTTGTGCTAAGATTTTTACAAACGTTATCATGGAACTTGTTTGTTTGTTTGCTAAATACAAAATTTGTAAATACAAAAAAGTTTTTTTTAGTGTTTATAATTCCATGCTGTGATTTTTGAAAATCCTGGATGTTGGGTATAAAATCGTTAAAACCTAGCTTAATCTTACAGCCTGAGATGCTTGTTTCCTTGGTAACCAGGGTCTAGTTGAATTCCCCTCTCCATCTCATTCCCCCGTGCTCTCAGCATTGTGCTTCTGTGGATTTCTGGAAGAGAGCAATGTGTTTGTTCGGTGTTTTTGATAAAGAGATGAACAGTTGTATGTTGTTTTGCTTGAGATGTTTAACAATGTACGTTTCATTTTGTACAGCCACACAGTCAATGTAATATAATAATCGCTTATGCATTTCTACATGGTTGTGAAGGATGCCACGATCACACGCATTGACAGAACTAACTTTGATAACAAACATTATGAATTAGATCTGACGTGCTTTTTGTTTTTCACAGTAGATATATTTATAATTTGTTCTGCTAAAACCTATATATTGACATGCGCCTGTCATTTTCAAAACGGAATGTTAATCAGAATCTAATAAATTTACATGGATGAAATCGCATCGGGTAACCGGCTATCTTTAAATATATCTGGTAAAAACTAGAAAGCAGTTGTTTTCATTACAGCAAAACTGACAGAATATTTCGTAAATATTTCGCAAGTTTAATTTCCATTATTGCAAGATCGTTGTAGAAAAAGACGAAATCGATACCAGGCAGACGCTGTACGGGCGCGCGCACTGTCGCGCGGGCACGGCTCTCAGCACCGTGGACAGCAGCTCATACCGAGCATCAGGTCACTGGCATCGCATCCCACCAGAAGACTGGACAGAGCCCGTGCTCTCCAGGCACAACCTGCGAGTACGCGGACAAGACCGATTATGTGTACAACCAGAATGGAAGATCTACGTCTGATAAGGAAAGAGGCAATCACGATACCGGAGGGGGAAATGTGAAAGATCTAAATGGTCAGAATATGTGTTTACTTGCAAACAGCAGGTCAGGTTAAACAAGTGTAGACATTCCTTCGCAGTACATGTTGATTCTTTCACATTCTGGCAATACAGCTCTTCGTTAGGAACTGGAGGGGTGGTCAGTGAACACCAGGCTGAATTGCGTTGCCTAACACGCCAACAAACCAGCGCACTTGCAACAGGAACAGACAAAACCCCGAGACCTCAGCGCCGTTCCCTCATCTACAAGATGCGCCTTTATTTGTTGGCGGTGTTTTTCTCTTGCTCCTGTGCACGGGGCGGTTGCGAGCCGAAGATAGTAAATATCGGTGCTGTCCTGAGTCAGAAGAGGTACGAGCAGGTGTTCAAGGACGCGGTCTCCCAAGCCAACCAGCTCTACGGAAAAGATAAGTTCAAGATGAACGCCATCTCTGTCACCCACAAACCCAACGCAATTCAGATGGCACTTTCCGTCTGTGAAGACCTCATCTCCAACCAGGTAACTAAGTCAGAGGTCTCTGCTTGAACAAACAAAAAATTTCTCTTCTGAAGTTAAATGTGTATCTCTCCAAGCAATGCATACTGTATGTTCCAATGCGAGGCCATAAAACATTAGCGGCATGGCTTAAGCAGACATGTCATCAGGTAAACTAATTTGTTGCGATAAACATTGTTTCAAACGAATTGGAGAAGCTGCCATTTTAATGATGTTTTATTGATTTATACGCGACGAGATTTTGTCTAGCATAGCCTATATGGCAAGATTAAAGAATTTTTTTGTTCAAGATTGCCATTTGATTAAAAACCGGTTTCGTGGCAATGAAACATGGCAAGAAACAATTAAATCATATATCGATAATAAATTTATCATTAATTCAATCAAGTGTCGTAATAAATCTCGTATATAGACATTATTTCTGGACTTCACATTAGTTTATTCACCAACCGCATTTGTTTCGTTCAATAAATATTTCAGTTCCTGAAATCAGCAGCGGGGGTTTTAATCCCGTGGTGGCGCGACCTGACAGCTTGAAAAAAATGCACTTATGACAGATGATGGGTTAAAAATGCAGTTTATTTTTCTGAATTAAAAACTCAAAGAGCTGTATAGAATTGTTTAACGAAAGAATAATGTACTGGCGTTATACACATTGGTGTACATATCGTATATATGCGTGTCATTGCAAACCCCTTATGATCCCCTGCACTCCCAGTCCCTGACTGTATTTACTTGAGGTTTGTTTGTGACCGGCTTCTTGGTTTCCTCGGAATTGTTCATTAAGAAATTATATTAGGCTATATACTGTTGTAGAACAGGCGAGGTACCCAATTCCGCCAATACATTTCTCATAATAAAACGGAAAGGTATAAATATAGGCTAATTGTAATTATCCTCAAACTACTTTTGTGAGCACACCATTTTAAAAAAGTATACCATTATATAATGCCGACAGTCGAAAATAAATCGAACAAAAATATTTCCACGATGAGGAGAGACAATACATTGATTGCTCAGGATGAAAAGGTAACAGTTTGCTAGGCGACCATTTTCTTGTAAATTTTCATTATTATTAGGAAATTGTAGCATTGCATTCGCTTGTGCCATTCATCCGTAGTTTGAATGCAACAGAGTCTTCATTGAAACATCTAGGACACCTGGAATGTCCGCAATTTAAAGCAGCAGTTTTCAGCAAATGCGAACCAAAGGACTGACAGGTCAGAGTATGATGTGTAGTAATATGATTATCTGATTTCACTGGTGTCAGTAGTTTCATCAATAACGTCTCTCGAATGCCAGCATTATTGTTACCGCTATGAAATAAGCCATCTTGGGGAAAAGCGTTGGGTTAATAATGAATTGCAAATGTAAATCTATAGGAGAGGGAACTACGCAACTGACATAATTAAAATTCTGGATGAATTCGGGGGTCTAGAATATTATGGCAGAAATAATCTATGAAAGACATACTCAGTTTTAAATAGCTTGCCAAATACTTCGAAACAAATTCTACTCGATTTCCTGAATCTTTTTATTTTATTTTGGATTTACCACGAATATCACATTTTATCTCATATTCAGTGAGAAGTCATCAAACCATATATAGATATATAAATATATAAAGAGCATAAGAAAAATCAATTATAAAAGCCAAAGAAGAGATAAGGCCCATTATCAACCAAATTAATATAACTAATAGTTCATTATTTAATAAAATCAGTTTCTAATCATTTTAGATTAGAATAAATTCTTTATCATAACATTTCTTAAACGTTCCAGAAATAATTTTATTTCTAAAATACAGTATTCTTTCTTAAATGTTCATTCACAGAAGAAAATTGTTGTATAAGGTAATATTTAATTGATACTTTCTGTTTATACATGTAAAACCCAGTACACTTCCTAATAAATATCACATTAAAAATAGATATAATCCAAGCAAAAGCGTGTTTTTTTTCTGTATCTGTCATTACAAATTGCTGGGGCCCATGCCAAAATGGCATGTGGATTTTTCTCTCACAGGCAGTAGAAAAACCCACCATTAAAACCTGTTTTAGATTGTTTTGGAAGGGAGGGGTGCTGCACGTGATCTGGCTTCATTTCAAATTAATTAACCCAACTCAGTATAATGGGTTAATAAGTGGCTGCAGGAGGGCACAGGAGTTATGAAGTGAAATGGTTCATGAGGCTTCCCAGGCTCTGTGTCGATGTCGGTCATCCCTGCTGCCGCACCAGAGGGCCATTCAATCGCTTTTGGTGCTTAGAAGCTGAGATTATCTGAGGGACACCGTTAACTTTGAATTTCATATTAATGTGGACTTACTACTGTTTCAAAAGCAATAAGGAGATATAAAGGGGACATAATGAGAGCCTTTATTTAAATGAAACACCTATTGCAGGGAGCTTCAGCAAATCAGCACTGACCCCACACACATTAGTAGCATGAGTAATTATTGTGTCACATTGCAATAGTGGAGTGTTGTATCCTACGCTTTTCTTTTGTAGTGCTGCAGCTATTATTGTTTTGTTCTTTTTGCCTACATGATCAGTCACCTTGAAATCTAGCCCTTGAATCCTCAAATCCATCTCTCACGTGGCCTTTTTATCCACAGGTGTATGCGATCCTCGTAAGCCATCCACCGCAGTCCAACGACCACCTGACCCCCACGCCTGTGTCTTACACTGCCGGCTTCTACCGCATCCCAGTGATGGGGCTCACAACTCGAATGTCCATTTATTCCGACAAGGTGAGCTAAAACCTGGCTGGCACATGCTCACTGGAGAAAGGTCCAACATATCCCTGAAGGGATAACATGCCGTTGTTTTCCAGAGGTTGCTCATCAGTTAGTAGATGTCGGATGGGTGAGGGTGTTGATTTACAGGCACTGTCACAAATTGAGGTACATTGATTTGGAGAGGCACCCAGCATGGGTAACTCAATCTATTTTTACACTCTTCTTGAGCATGGCTGTCCTGAAATGGATGTACTGGATGTTGGGATGATTATTTTCATGGGCGTAAATTATGGGGGGGATGGGGGGGGGGTTGTAGCCCCCCCAATAAATAAAAACCAGCTAATACAAACCCCCCAATAATCATGTTTCCCCCATAATGGGTGGAGACCTCAACCCCCCCAATGTTCCAGCCAAAGTTACGCCCTTGATTATTTTACATGGGAGATGAGCATCCCATGGTACACTGTAATGGGAACCAGCATACTACGTGGTCAGCCAATGAAATGCAAAGTCATTCTGAAACCAGAGAAATTATTCAAACTCAGATACAGGTACACGGGTAAGTTGGAGAGCCTCATTGACAACGGAATGTGCACATGCGGGAGGAGTTAAGAGACGACGTCCCAGCTCACAGCAAACGCGTCATCAGCCATCCCCGTGTGTCATCCACTGGCCTCACTCTAAAGAAAATGGCAGCAATGGAGTTCTTGCATAGCAACACAGGCCTGTAGTAGCAACGCACTCTGTCAACAAGCCTCCAGCTCTTTTTAATGATATGGCGCCGTTGTGCCACACCTGTGAACAGCGGTCTGTGGATTTCAGAATCTTCATTAAGGATTCCTTCCCCTTTTTTCCTTCAGGCTGATGCCACATTGAACTGGATTCCAAATGAAACATACTCAGTCCCCAGATCCTTGTCAGTGATGCACCGCCTAAATGCGTAACGATAATTAACCAGCCATCACTGTTCGCCCCTAATAAAAGGCCATTTTAAATACAGATGACCAAACAATCACGTGTCTCCATGGGGGCTTTTTGTCACATGCCTGGGGATTCTAGAAAAATTGCCCTTTCTGTGGCTGGCAAGCAGCACAAGATGTATGTGGCTGTCTGAGGGACTTGCGTCATAAGCTTAACTGTGTTCTGCATATCTAACTTCATTTATGACCTGACTTATGTGATTATTTCACGCACCATTTCTTTGAGTTACACATTAAAAATAGAATGGTACAAACTGAGTTTCATTTCAGTTGAAGGGACTCTTCAGTTGCCAGATAATCCAAACCATTTTTAAGCCACGACTTCTTATGTTAAGACCTTAATATGAACAGGTAGGATCAAATTTATCAAGCTTTAATATTTTTAATGACTAAAAAGGAAATATCTAAAACCCTAATTGTTTTAACCCCGTTATTACTGTCCATGCTACTTTATATGTAAATTGATGTTATTTTAAAAAACAAGCACATATCTTTGCAACAGTGCCAAAGATCCACCCACCCATTTCCACCCATTTCCAGCACCTGCTTCTCCTGTTTGGGGTTGCAGGTGGTCTGGAGCCCAAAAGATAGGGATGCAAGACAGAGAAAAAGCCTGGATGGGACACCATCCCATCGCACACCATTCATACCTATGGACAGTTCGGCGACTCTAATTCACATCAGCATGTGGGAGGAAACTGGAGAAAAGTCTATGATGTAATGGGACACCATACATACTCCACACACATAGAACCATGACAGAGACTTGGACCTCAGTCCCTGAGGTGGGAGGCAACAGTACTGATCACTGCTCCACCACGCCACCCCTAGTGCAAAAGTCTGTGTTTAACTTTAGCTCTTCCCGCTTTGGCTTTATCCTTTTGCTAAGATATGTGTGACTGATCTGGTTCTGCTCAGCTAGGGCTCTCTCCCGCTATACAGCAAGCTGTTTATTGTGACTGTAATTAAGCACCTTGTATCTTTGATGTGAAGATGTTACCTGTCACAGAGACAAGAAGCTTGTCGGTTGTGGATATTTATTCCGAAAGGCAAATAACTATTCCAAGATCAAAGAGTAGATAGCCACACAAAGATAGGTCGGGCGCAGGCCGAGTGTTGGGGAGAAATCCAGAATCGAAAAACGAGAAATCCAGCCAAGGGTCATACACCAGAGAATCCAAAATCAAAACCCTCTCTCAGATTGCAACTCAGGGAGGAGAGATGAGACTTTGCAATAAGGTGAGAGTCCCGTGGGTGTATCTGACTGGTAATGCAGGACGGGTGCACGCAACCAGGAACCTGAACAGAACCATTAATGTTGAGGGGACTGGTGATTCCATGCACTTCAACCTGAGGTCTTAGATGGCGTGACGTTACCTGAACACATGGTCAGCAGGATCCAGCTTCTTTCTAAATTACGCTTCACGCTCTTGATTGTGCCGCTTGCCACGAAGTTCACGCGGTCGAGGTAAAGTTCCTGATGCCTCCCGGTTCTCCCTCCTCCAGAGCATCCACCTCTCCTTCCTGCGCACGGTGCCTCCCTACTCCCACCAAGCCAACGTGTGGTTCGACCTGATGCGCGAGTTCCGCTGGAGCCACATCATCCTGATCGTGAGCGATGACCACGAGGGCCGCGCCGCCCAGAAGAGGCTGGAGACGCTGCTGGAAGAGAGGGAAACCAAGGTGAGACAGCCAAGGTCTGGGGCCGCAGGCTTTCAGCGTGTTCCTGTGTGCGCGCGCGTGCATGTATATGTGTAATTTGTATTTAATATCGCAAAGGTCTTTTATGTATATAACTGTTTTCTTTTCTGTTATGTTAACACATCTCTCTCCATTTGTAACACTGGCAGACATTTCCTATGCTAAAGACATCAACACGTCTTAAGTGGCTATCTGACGAGACTTTTGTACTCTCTATCCATCTCACGTTCCTTTAGCCATTGTCCAAATTCTCCTATGTGTCAATCCACAACGGGAGCAAAATGACGCACTTAACCTGGGGCTGTGCAAAAAATCAATGGCTTCCAAATCTGAGGAACTCCCTAACCCTCCTTTGATGCGATCCATGGTGTGCTTTTCAGCCTTCATTTCAAATTTGAAACAATTGAGCAAATTTTGGATTAGTGGCCATTACTGGTTGAAAGATATTTCTTCCGTACTATTAATCACTAAATGGTACCAATTAGTGTGTATATATTATGCATACTTTGTATCGGCATGTTATGGAAGGTGTTTGGGCAGTCTTGTGGTGGATGACTGGGTAGAAGGTATGTTTCTCTTTAGTGGAAGTGTGTCTGTGATTAAATGAGGTGAGACATTTAAAGAACTTTCATATTTTACAATTAAAAGGCAGCATAAAGGCACAGCTTGTAAAAACGACAAATCTTTCGGTGCAAATGATAGTACAAGTGGGGGTTCTCATGGGTTCTCTTCTTGCTTTTGGATTTATGCACATGGTTTGTTCTCCACGTTCTCCGCATGTCTATGTGGGTCTCCTCCTGCAGTATGGTATGAAAGATGTGTGTACTCCGGCGGTCTGGCATCCTACCCAGGGTGTGCCGTGTGCCCTTTGCTTTCTGGGATGGGTTCCAAGCTCCGTACGTGGTTACGGAACAGGAATACTGTTGAGATTTTTGGAAGGGTCATGCTTTCTCGCAATACTTGTGCCTATTGTGAGCCTGTGAAGGTGAAATGCAAGGGTATTAAAATGAACGGTTGCTGCCAGTACCAATCATATCAGTCATGATTAATCATGACCGCTGGCGCTTGTCAATACTAACTGAACTGTAACAGGAAAACACAAACCAAAAGGTCAGCGGGAGAGCGACCAGGGGAGCGCAGACCTCATATGTACATTGGAATGGATTTTAGCTTAGGCTGTGTTTTTTATTGGTTTTTGGTTTAGTATTTGGATACTAAGCCCACATACTTCAGTTTTTATGCTTGGTTGTTTGTACGGTCCCTCAGTCCTGACTTGGATAAGCCATTGAAAGGTCTTTGGATGGGTGGATGTTTGGAAGGCTTGTCAGGATATTTTGAACATCTCTGACAGTTAGGTCCTATTGATTTTCCCTTGATGTCAATTTGTTGAATCGTCCCTATCCAGGATACATGTTTGTTATCCCTGTGGCTAACTTGCATGTCATAAATGGCCAGAACATTTATTTTGTCATATGGAATAATGAAGGTGTTGCTTTCCTTTTTCAGTTGTTTTGGGCTTGCAGTTAT